TTAATAATTATTAATTTAAACTTTAGATAAATAAAATTAGTCATCATCATCCACAGCAAACCTGCCAAGTCAGGTCTATTTGTCTCAGCATTTTTTTTATATTTATTGTACCTATTAATTTATTATATATTTAATTGATGACGCGCTGTGTGCACCTCTGGACAAGAATTTTATTTAATTATCTTTTTTTGATTTCAGGAAAAGTTAAAGTCAACAACTACAATCTTTCTCTTCAAAATATTCCGGCAACTAATGGAGTAATTCATGCGGTTGAGCATCTCCTTTAATCACTCATTTTAATAGGTATTTAAGCCTTACAAAATTTCATTACGCGAAAAAATTAAATCCTAATCAAAAAAGTAAATAATCGGTCATTGTGAAATATTTCTAACTGTGAGATCAAACAAGTAGATTTCCATCTATTGTTATTTATCAGTAGGTATCAAATACTTTTCAAAAGTAAGAATTTGGATTGAAATGTATATTTCTCTATTTCAACGTTGTAGATAATTATTGAACTGATGAGTTGTGTAAATGAGGTACATATTATATAAGTTAATTTTATACGGAATTAGTTTACATTATCTTAAGAATCTTGTACAGAATGTTTATTAAATTATTATAATATCGTAATTTAATTTAATTATTTTTACCTTAATTTTTACTGAAAAGGTTCATGGGTGAATTCATTTTACGCCTTTATCTGTACACAAGCAGTAATAACATAAAAAACTGACGTCTATTAATTACCTTATAGTAATTAAAAGATGTACATAACGAGGCGCATCCAAATTAAAAATTACCCTCTTATTAATTTATAAAATATCAGATTTTACTCCTTGACCTGTGCACAAACAGTAACAACATAAAAAACTGACCTCTATTAATTACCTTATAGTAATTAAAAGATGTACATAACGAGGCGCATCCAAAATAAAAATCACCCTCTTATTACTTTATAAAATATCAGATTTTACTACTTGACCTGTACACAAACAGTAATAACATAAAAAACTGACGTGTATTAATTACCTTATAGTAATTAAAAGAAATACATAACGAAGCGCATCTAAAATAAAAATCACTTACCTTTCATTAATTTATAAATTATCTGCGATACACAATAACACACGTTTTATTCACTGTAAAGTAATTAACTAGCCCGTGTATGTATCACATACCTTATCACACTTACCCATGCTTAAACTAAACTAAACTTGTGAAATTTAAAATACAAGAGGGGGATCGCGGGAATCCAGATTTGAATATGCGGATTTGATATTTATTACATCAGAATTGACCAATAGGATTCAACCACTAAATTTTCCGATCTCTATGGTACATGTTATTACTCAAATAATAGATACTTTTATAACATAATTACAACTAAAGTTTGTTCTATTTGATGTTACTCTTTCTGCGACATAAGTTTAAACAGCTGGAAATAAAAATGTGTAGGTCTGAAAAAAAAAGGAAAACCATATTTCTAAGATATAGAAGGGTGTTGCTAAATGTTATTCTACTTCACGTACAAATGTCACATAATGTTAACTGGTTAGAAAATATTTGATTACATTTCACTTTTTAATTGCCAAGACGCAGACATACCTAGATGAATTCATTATGTGACATAAGTATTATATTATTTATCGACGTTTANCCTACAGAAATTCTTATTTTTATTTTGTCTTTATCAATGTATACCAATTAATATTACTCTCAAATCCTTATAAAACAACACCTCTTGCCTTATAAAAATAAAAAGCCATTAAATCAGTTTTTTGGGTGTATTTATTAAATATATGTATAGAACAACGAAATTACTTCTTTTTGGATACACCAACAGTGCGTCCACGTCTGCCAGTGGTCTTGGTGTGCTGACCTCTTACCCTAAGACCCCAATAATGACGCATGCCCCTGTGTGCCCTTATTTTCTTCATCCTTTCCAAATCTTCACGCAATTTGGAATCTAAATTCGACGATGTCAACTGCAATCAAAATAAAAAGCATAAATGCACTCTACAATGTACAGCTTAAAAGGAGATGATATATTTATAAAATTTATTTGTTGCATTTCAAACAAACTAATGCATAAAGACACAATAGCAATGTCCTTCCATGCAAATTATCTTGCACAGACTACCACCAAATTACACAAACTAATTCATATGCAATTTGTCGTTTAACTGTGCTTTATACAAGATCATTCATGATGGCAACTAATTCTTAAGAGACAAAGGCCCAAATCTCATCAAGAAAAACACCCAGTTTAACCAAATAAATTAATTATAAGAGTCAACACTACTTATAGTTATTACTAAAAGTACTTAAAGGATTTAAAAGCTTGTCCTACCTGACTGTATTTGCCATCAACGATATCCTTTTGCCTGTTCAAGAACCAGTCTGGAATCTTGTACTGTCTTGGATTTGACATGATTGTTATAATTTTTTCTACTTCTTCTTCTGTACATTCTCCAGCCCTTTTATCTAAATCTACATCAGCTTTTTTCAAGACAATATTAGAGTACCTTCTTCCAACACCTTTGATAGCAGTTAGGGCAAACATAACCTTTCGTTTGCCATCAATATTTGTACCCAAAATACGCAGAATATGCTGGAATTTCTCGGGAATGACGAGGGACTAAAACATAAGACAATTATAATTAATTTACTATAATTATCGACATTACAAAAGTAAAGAAATAGAAACACCTAGTACTCATACAATAAGGAGGTTAGATTAAAAATATTTCATTACAATGTCTAAAAGTAAATTCAAGTACACTTATATTGAAGCTAAAGCTAATGATGAACATTTATTTAGCTGATAAAAATAAAAATTAATAAAACATACCATTTTTGAGCATACACAACTTATTTTCAATGGAAAAGACTAACCATAGAAAACACCATAGAAACTAAAGTCTGGAAGGCTGACATCCATAGATAACACAAAATTAATAGTGTGGCTAAAGTAACGCTAAAAATTGCTATAAAGAAATCGCAGAACAACCCGAAAACAACACTGAGTACTTAAATATATTTAAATATTCCAAGCAATTTTCTTTCAAAATACAAAATAATAAGTAAATATAATTTGAAATTTAAAAAACGGGCACAACAACTAGACATTACGCCTATGGACCTACGTTCATAGATAATTCATCACTCAAAATTCAAAACTAGATATAGGTTATATTATTCAAGATGTTAACCTCAAAAAGCAAAAATTAGCAAAAAAGTAAGTTTTAAAATGCCTCCAAAGAAAAACACAGCCAAAACATCAAAGGAAACTAAATCTGATGGAGATAAAGGTATAATTGTGCTTACCAAATATACACATATCCATTTCTAACATTATTTTCAGCTGGTGGCAAGGAGAAAAAGGGTGGAAATGCTGTCAAAGTGAGGCATATTTTATGTGAAAAGCAGGGTAAATGTCTTGAAGCTCTTGAAAAATTAAAAGCAGGTCAAAAATTCGTAGAAGTTGCCACCGCATATAGTGAAGATAAAGCTCGACAGGGTGGTGACTTGGGCTGGATGACAAGAGGTTCCATGGTAGGCCCATTCCAGGACGCTGCTTTTGCACTTCCAATATCAACAGTGAACAACCCCATTTACACAGATCCTCCTGTCAAAACCAAATTTGGTTATCACATCATTATGGTTGAGGGCAAAAAATAAAAACTATTATTTACATGTGTTGTTAATTAAGACTGTATTTGTATTATTAAATAAAGCACCATAAAATATCGCCTGTAGTAATTATCGCGAATTACCAGCTTACATGAATAAAATAAATAATTGGTCTTACTTTTCTATTTATTTGTGTCAAATGTCAGAGGTACTCTTTTCTATTGCATATTACCAGCTATTTTAGAGAAGTTATCAGTAAATATTTATTTTCTAATATGAGGGGAACCAACAATAATGAAACCTATACATAATTAGTATAGGGATATTAAAAGTTTTATTGGACACAGCTTCTTACTGTGGACTTTACAAGAAGTTTTGGGTTTAGGACCTTAAAGTTTGAAAATTTAGTTTTAAAACAATGTTAAGTAGTTTCTTCTAGAAAACCAGTAAAACTAGAGGAAATTTTAAATGAAAAGTTTGATGAGAAGTTTGAAAAATCAACTTCACCTAATGCTTCATCTTTTACTGTTACGCTTTTAGAATTCTGAGTTTGCGCCAGAGTTCTATTTCATCAGAAGAGTTCTGAAGATATCGATTGGGATAGAGGACGAAATGTAATGTGGTGCAAATTCAAAATCATAAACTTTACAATTCAACTTCAATGACATCCACGAAACTCCTTAACTATTTACTATTTATTGCTACAAGTTAAAAACAAATCTTTGTAGAAAAATGTGTAGATTTAAAATACAATTACTAAACTGAGCACGAACTTTAAAGAAAGGAAAGTTGAATGAAAAGTTGCGTCCAAAGTACTCATATCGTGGGACATCAATTTAGTATTATTTTATTCAGTAAAGATCCGATTATAGGCCACTTTGGCGCATCTCCTTTATAATATTTACAGATTTTTTTGTTTCGTTTATGTGTGTAATCGGTCAGGTGTCAACTATATTTAAATAGATCGTCATTATCATCGGTATATGTCTGTTGTTGCTTGCATCGTCGTCGTCGTTGCGATTCGTCCGTGGCCTCCAGTCGATTACTGCTTGTTCGCCTCATAAAAAAGTGATTAGACAGCGAATAATAACAAGTTTACTTTTCCCTTATGTAGAAATTACGATTATAAAACATTCATGCGCGAATTGATTCTCGGTTCGTTTAAATTAAGTGTTTCAGTATTTAATATCGTAGATGTTTGGAGGTTGTATTTATTGTACCTACGTTGCGCAATATGAAGCGTTTAGAAACTTGGTGGGTTATATCTCTAATCCTGTCGGTTTTCGGTTTCTTGAAAGAACTCAGACCGTCCGAGCCGTACATTTTTGAATTTTTGACCGGGGAATGGCGCAACATAACAGCAGACGTGGTGACCCAACAAGTATACCCGGTGGGCACCTACAGCTACTTAGCTCAGCTTATAGTAGTATTTTTAATAACTGATCTATGTCGATATAAACCTCTAATAATCGTCCTGGCTCTGTCTGGAATTGTAATATGGAGCATGTTGTTGTGGACTTCCGGTTTAGTAGAGTTGAAAATACTAGAAGTATATACAGAGTGATCAATTAAAAAGTTCAACGTGGGTACAGTAAAATAATGCTTTACAGGTATTTTATGGTACTTTTATGGCAACGGAAGTCGTTTATTATAGTTATATTTATGCAAAAGTTAAAAATGAATATTACGAAAAAGTTACGTCTTATGCCAGGGCTGCTGTTCTTGCAGGACGATTCGTTTCTTCGGTCCTGGCTCAACTTTTGATCTCCTTCAAAATTATGGACTACAGGCAGTTAAACTATATAACATTTGCAGGTACGTGTGTGAACGTTGATCACTTAAGTATTCCACTGTAACACTCCAAAACCACAATCAGTCACATCCATTTAAAGATGCCCTGAAAAAGTAAACAGAAAATTATTCATTACATCATTTTATAAAGGCAAATTTAAAATTAGCGGTCTTTGGAACGACGCCAGGGTAATGCTCTTTTACTACGAATTGGTACAGATTTAAAATTATCTAATGCCACAACATAAAAAGTAATAAAGTATGTATCCTTATAGTGATAAATTTTTTCGGTATTTATTATATGTGGAGGAAAATAAAACTTAACTTCGAAATGTACTTACTTAAATGTACACAAAATAAAAATCACTGGTTTAAAGTTAGGTAAAATTTAATTAAAAAAGAGTATTAAATCGGCCGGGAATAGAACCTGAACCATCCGCATATCAGGCGACCATTGTATGCAAATATACTGTGGGTATGTGGTAGAAGCATATCGCCTATCACGCGGGAAGCTCGGGTTCGATTCCCAGTAGAGCCAATACTGTTTTTTCCTATATTGGGTAGTACTTATAGAACATTACCACAATTTTTTTTAAAAGGAAAATAAAATACTGTACCTAATCAAAGATATCGGTAAATAAAAATATTTTTAACAATAAGATCAATTAAAAGATATAACGTAATAAAGATTAAAATTATTTTTAAACTAATAAAACGTATATATTACGGATATTTTATCCGTCCTGCCCATCCATTTTTTTAACAACAAGATAAAATTTGGAATAACAGCCCTTTTGACATTATTTATTACTTTAACTCTTACTTGTTATTATTTCTTTTAACTTGACAGTGTACACCTAAAAACAATAGAACAAAAAGAAAGTTTATTAAACCTAAGAAATCGTCTAAATTAATAAATTTAAAACAAGAATAATTTTTTTTTTTTTGAAAAAGTTTAGTATGATTAATTGAAATAGTTAGCATAGTTTGCGAATTATTTTATCGGCCCATTTTGTCATTCGTTTTTATCCACAACATGACTATGCCAAATACTACACCTGCCGTTATCTTAACAATAATAGCTTAACAACTAACAATGATTCTTCAAACAATAGATAAAACAGCAAAAAGTAAATACCTTTAAATAAATGCATTAAAATTGTTTTTTTTTTTTTCTTTATATGCAAATGTGTAAAATATTATGGAATATTAGCCCTTCAACAACGATTTGAATAATCTTTTGCCTTTCCAGCAATGCTAGGGGCATTCCTCTGGTCATTATTAATACCATCCGTGGAAACCAGTATCTATTTCCACACAGGTGCGAAAGCAAAACTAAGTTTCCGCAAAAAAGCGGAAGCCGCTTGCGAGCTCTTGAAAACACATTTTACCGAATCGTTTTCTCAAACATACGTGGTAAAATGGTCCCTGTGGTGGTCTTTAGCAACGAGTGCCTTTATTCAGGTTCAAAACTACATGCAACCCTTATGGAAGGAGATAGGGGATAATGGAGACACTTATAACGGGGTTGTAGAAGCCCTACTGACTATAATGGGTTGTGTGGGAGCCCTGTTGGTGGGATACCTAAAAGTTGATTGGACTAACAAAGGAGAACTGTTACTCTCAATTTGTTCAATGGTTTCAGCGACTTTTATCATCATCAGTTCACAAGCGACTTCAGTAATTTTGAGTTACGTTTGTTACGTACTCTACGGCGGTTTTTATCATTGCATGATAACAATCGCAAGCATGGAAATTGCTAAAAAGATCCCTACGGACAGTTATGGACTAGTATTTGGTATAAACACATTCCTAGCCCTGTTAGTGAGTACCCTTTTGACCATGGTCTTTGTCACTGGTACGATGGGCTGGTCACTGGCCATACGAGATCAACATCTAGTTTACGGTTTTTATAATATCGTGATTACAGTAATTTTTATAATTATTGGAACGATTAGCTGGTATAGGAGCCGAAGGGACATTACAAGGAGGTATTGAAAAGTATTCCTGTAAAATACGTTTGAATGGGTAGTAGCTACTCAAAAATTGGGTGATAAAATTTGCTATGTCGCTCTTAGAGTAAATCATGTAATTGGCCCAATTTTTCTTTTTTTATTCTGTTCATGTACAATTCCCAATCCTTATTTTTCTGGCATATACTCAAATCTTATTACATGATTTATTGGTTTTGAGATACGTAGAGTACACTTTAGGAAATTAAAGACAAATTTCACTATACTGATGCCATATTTTAAATTACAACATTTAAAACAATAAAAATGTAACATTGTGATTTATAAATATATATAAAAGTATTATCAATAAATATAAAAAGTAGAGAAACTTGGTGGGTTATATCTCTAATCCTGTCGGTTTTCGGTTTCTTGAAAGAACTCAGACCGTCCGAGCCGTACATTTTTGAATTTTTGACCGGGGAATGGCGCAACATAACAGCAGACGTGGTGACCCAACAAGTATACCCGGTGGGCACCTACAGCTACTTAGCTCAGCTTATAGTAGTATTTTTAATAACTGATCTATGTCGATATAAACCTCTAATAATCGTCCTGGCTCTGTCTGGAATTGTAATATGGAGCATGTTGTTGTGGACTTCCGGTTTAGTAGAGTTGAAAATACTAGAAGTATATACAGAGTGATCAATTAAAAAGTTCAACGTGGGTACAGTAAAATAATGCTTTACAGGTATTTTATGGTACTTTTATGGCAACGGAAGTCGTTTATTATAGTTATATTTATGCAAAAGTTAAAAATGAATATTACGAAAAAGTTACGTCTTATGCCAGGGCTGCTGTTCTTGCAGGACGATTCGTTTCTTCGGTCCTGGCTCAACTTTTGATCTCCTTCAAAATTATGGACTACAGGCAGTTAAACTATATAACATTTGCAGGTACGTGTGTGAACGTTGATCACTTAAGTATTCCACTGTAACACTCCAAAACCACAATCAGTCACATCCATTTAAAGATGCCCTGAAAAAGTAAACAGAAAATTATTCATTACATCATTTTATAAAGGCAAATTTAAAATTAGCGGTCTTTGGAACGACGCCAGGGTAATGCTCTTTTACTACGAATTGGTACAGATTTAAAATTATCTAATGCCACAACATAAAAAGTAATAAAGTATGTATCCTTATAGTGATAAATTTTTTCGGTATTTATTATATGTGGAGGAAAATAAAACTTAACTTCGAAATGTACTTACTTAAATGTACACAAAATAAAAATCACTGGTTTAAAGTTAGGTAAAATTTAATTAAAAAAGAGTATTAAATCGGCCGGGAATAGAACCTGAACCATCCGCATATCAGGCGACCATTGTATGCAAATATACTGTGGGTATGTGGTAGAAGCATATCGCCTATCACGCGGGAAGCTCGGGTTCGATTCCCAGTAGAGCCAATACTGTTTTTTCCTATATTGGGTAGTACTTATAGAACATTACCACAATTTTTTTTAAAAGGAAAATAAAATACTGTACCTAATCAAAGATATCGGTAAATAAAAATATTTTTAACAATAAGATCAATTAAAAGATATAACGTAATAAAGATTAAAATTATTTTTAAACTAATAAAACGTATATATTACGGATATTTTATCCGTCCTGCCCATCCATTTTTTTAACAACAAGATAAAATTTGGAATAACAGCCCTTTTGACATTATTTATTACTTTAACTCTTACTTGTTATTATTTCTTTTAAATTGACAGTGTACACCTAAAAACAATAGAACAAAAAGAAAGTTTATTAAACCTAAGAAATCGTCTAAATTAATAAATTTAAAACAAGAATAATTTTTTTTTTATTGAAAAAGTTTA